AGCACAGCTGCTGCCTCAAAATCTGGCCATGGTATTTCCCTGGGGAATTCAGGTTTTTAAAAAACACTTGCACTATGCTTACTCCTATCACAATCCCAGAATCAGGGTGGCACTTCACATTGACACCAGCTTTTTCTTGACAATAATTCCAGAATACTTACCAGGGTCACACTTCAGACGAACACCGGCACTCTCTGCAATGCAGAAACAAAGCTTTATGAGGGGCACGTCGTGCTGTGGATTGTTTGCACAACGTTCTGTTTCTCTCAATGAATACTGTCAACCTGATCAGAAACGTAGTCAACTGCTACAGTAATCAAAACAGCATGGTACTGGTACTGAAACGGAGATGTGGACCAATGGAACAGAACAGAGCTTGATTGGACAGGACAGAACGGGCGGCCACAGAGGCCTGGGATAGATGTTCTGTCCCCGCAACACAGCAGGGAGCACGCTTCATGGCGTGCTGATGCTTACTGAATGGTACAACTGAGGACTGGGTGATTCTGTTTGACACGGCAAGTCTACTTCGCCGCTACAGGCAGTGCAGCATGTTAGTTTACAGATTAGCCTTTGGTGTTAGAGAGATCCAGCTGTGGGTGTGTCTCGTGAATAATTTGCTTAACTGAGACTCACACTCCTCATCTCTATAATGAATAGAACCAAACTAATAATGCCTCAAAGTGACTGTGATGCTTCAAGGAGGCAACATAGAGAAGTGACCACATAGTATCCAAGACTCCAATGTGTATCAGTCATCCTTTTCATTTTAGTAACTTAAGCAGTTGTTATTAAGGACAGTCATGTGGCATAGTGACATTTTGATCAATGATTACTTACATGGCTGGGGTCAGATGGCCGTACACAAACCTACTGGCCTGCATCATTAGATTAAAGCAAAATTTTTGGTTAAAAATTGTAAGTAAGATGCTATACAAATGAAAGACTAATCACAGTGATGGAATTTTTAGGGAGAGATAAAACTAAGTTCACAAGGATTTGGAGAAATGTCTCCTCACATACGCTGCTATGGGAGCATGAATTAGCATCACCATTTGGAAAAAGATTTGGCACTATTCATGACAATAAAAGATATGTTCCCTTCTAACTATCTACTTCACAGAAATGAGTGCCAGTAGTATTCCAAAACCATTGACAAAAATACTCAAAGCAGCATTACTTCTCACAGCCATCATTATTTAAAAACAGAAAGAGAAAATTCGATGTCAATCAACAGTAGAGTGGATAAACTGTAACAGGTGACTACGGTGGAATGCTTTGCAGCAAGGAAATGGAAGAACTACAGTTACACTTACGAACATGAACGAATTTCAAATCATGATGGGAGCGAAAAAGCCAGACACCGAGAAACACATATTGACTTATTCTATGTATAATAGTCCTGACCTGGAGAGGTCTAAACAAGTCATTAGCAGTCACAGCAGGTCCATTAAGGGAGAAGGTTAAAGGAGGAGGGAAATTTCAGGGAGGAACGGGGATGTCTGCACTTGTGCCATCCCACCCTCTCAGATGTCAGGGTCCCAAAAGAGGGTGCTGGCAATATTTAGGTGGTTCAAAGGTGTCATGAAGAAAAGCAAATGACAGACAGCAGCAAACTCAGGTCTTTAATGAAGTTCCCCAGACTGGATAGAGGGTGCCCACTTAGTTTTGTATCTTATTATGTAAAATGAGGATCCTCCAAAGATAAAAATGTCATCCGTACCATGGACAGAATTATGTGCTATCAGCACATTTTATCATAGGAGTTTCCTGCACAACTTTTAGCAATCTTTGAATAAAAGGTCCAGAACTTAACCTATAAATATCAACTTAGAGAACAACAGAAGCCTAATTTTTGAAGACAGGAAATAGTGTAATGCCATCTTCTGTGGGAAGGAACTCTTGGTTTCCCCAAAAATTAGAGAACTGGAGAGAAAGAAGCCTCATCTCAGAATCTGTGGTAGGGGTGGGAAGTGGAGGCTACAAATGTGATCAAGGTCAGACTTCTCCCGTCTTCCCAGGAGACTGGAGATGTACCAGTGATCCCAGAGCGAACATTCACTCTGCCATCCACCCCTGGGAGACCCCTTCCAACCCACAGAGAGGACAGAAACCTAAATGTGCTATAACAAATCTTAAAGGTTTAGAGGGTGATTATCAATTTCCCCTTGGCACATGCACTTTTTCTCTAAGTTCAAGTCAATGCCTGTGAGAGAGATGCTCCCACAGGTTCCTTCCTTCCTTTACAGATGACACTCAATGCCCAGCCTTACATCCCTTGTGCATGATCCCAAGGAGTGCTGATTAATCCAAACTAAAGGTTTTGATATTTCCCTGGGCAGAAAAGAGAGGGTGTACTGCAAAGATCATCTCTAAGGAACACAGCACCCTCCCAGCCCAGAGAGACTGCTCCTACCTTTATGACAACAAACTTTGAAAAGAACAAACCAAACCTCACACACATTTTCATTTTCTTTCTGATTTCATACTCCCTTCTTCAGCCCCTCAAGCAGCGGGGATAACGTGAAGGCTCTCAGGAACCTTTTCCCATCAGGTCCTACCTGGAAAGTAGTTCCCTACCTTGGGGGTCGTCTTCAGTGAGCCTGAAGACGCTCCCCAGAATCCAGCCTTTAGAAACAAAAACATCAGGACAAGTCATTAGAAAGAGTGACTCACCCATGCCTCTTCCTCCAGCTGAAGCCACGCTGCCTCACACATCATTCCCTGGTCTTTGCTCTGTGTAGACAAACCTTCCTACAGCCTCTCTGGCTGGAGTTCTATATTGGCCACATCACTTTCTCTCAGGAGACCCCAATCCTCCTTCCTAGCGGGATCCCAGAATCAGGGTTCTATACACTCAGGCAGCAAGTTGGTCCCTCATGAAGTGGGTTACTTCACGGTACTTACTTCTCACCCTCTCCTGGGACACTTCCTGCAATTAAACAAAAGAAAATATTATGAGGATGAGATTCTGCAGTGCCCTTCACATAGAGCTGTTATTTTCTTGGCAAGGGTAGAAAACCAGAAGAGGTACAGTGGCTGAGCCATAGGTCAACAGCCCCAAAACCACGAGGATGCTTATGCAAAGATAAGGTCTTTATTCACAGAATTCACCTTTAAAGTGGATTTCATGGGCAAACACACAATGTTGAATGCAAGGAGGAAAACGTGTTGAGGACAGGGCCTCTGCATTACAGCCCATAATGGAGGCTGCCATTTGAAAACCTCCCAGTGTATTGCGTGGTAGTTGGGAAGACACTCCCACTGAACTTCACCCCCACAAAAAGAATTGCATACACTGCACATAGTGTACATTTTCAGATTTTCGTATCAAAATTGAGAAGAAATCACAAAAGCAAAATTTCTTTAGAAGACAAAGAAAAGGAGTCTCACATAGAGGCTTTGCTCCTCCCGGTCTTCTTCCTCCTTCCAGGATCTGAGTCCGACGGTGCTCACCTGGTCAGTTGAAGACACTGGAAGGACACAAAGGAAAGCTCAGCACCCTGGTGGTTGGTGGCTGTGAGTTACTCACGGAGCTTTGCTGGATGTGGGGTATGGAGGTGGGTGATTATCAAGCACGAACTGAGTTGCTGCTGGGCCGTCCCCCTGGGTGGAAGAGGGCTGGCCAGGGAGGGCAGCAGGAAGGAGAGGAGACATGGAGGTCTCCGTCTCGTACTGGAGGCATCATGCAGCAACACAAGAGTCAACCCAAAATGGAAACTCAAATGCACACTAAGCGTCAATGGAACCTTCTGCCTCTCACACGTTTTGAAGCTCTTTTAAACAAACAGCATTTTCAAGGCTATGTCAGTACTCTAGGACCCAATCATGCTGCTGCCAGATTTAGCATCAGTTTCGAAGATGCATAATAAAAACCTGGGTCTACCCCGCCCCTTATCTGAACCCAGACACTTTCTTCTATTGATTCCTGGTTTTAAAACTCTTTCAACCAATTGACAATCAGAAAATCTTGAAATCCTTCTTATGACCTGGAGCCCCGACCTTCTCCCACTTCCTGTGGTCCTGTTGTTCTAAACGGAAGAAACTTACATCTTGCATGTATTAATTGATGTCTTATGTCTCTCTAAAACATGTAAACACCAAACTGTAGCCTGATCACCTTGGACATATGTACTCAGGACCTCCTGCAGCTGTGTCACCAGCATGTCCTTAACCTTGGCAAATTAAACTTCTAAATTGGATTGAGACCGGTTTTAGGTAACTTTTTGGTTTGCAATGTGTAATCATGGTGGGGTTTATTCTTTAGAAGAGGACACTAGGGATTTATTGTGTCAAACAGAAATAACAACAACATTTATTTATATGATTTACGTCCCAAGAATATTTTTCCATTTATGAATTCACATAAAGGGAAATGGCTGTCACATAAATGGATGTCACTGCAGTTCTGTTTTTTAGACCTTTCAAACCTTGAATAAAAGCTAAGTCGAACAGACAGACGGATTCAATTCTAGGCAAAACAGTCTATTGTAATTATGTACTAAACTTTTGTTACAGTCGATGATGGAAGATTCGGAAATATTGGAATTATATTCTATAAAACAGCTGGTGTTAATCACACGAGAGTTCCTTCTTCAGTCCACCTTTCCTTTGTCATGCATGTGTAGTAATTGCCTAGGGAGGATCCTATCTTTGTACTCGCCAGTGCATTGAGCATAGTGTATTTCAGGAAGGGAGACATGGGCTGGATGCTGATGTGTGTTAACGCTGCAGTGCAGAGCTGCAGTGAGTGTGGTGAACTGGTAACCTGATGCTTTTTTGCTGTCTTAATTGTCATTGTGTCTAATGAATGTAGTTTGCAGGATTTGATCATTTCTAGGTCTTGTCGTGATAAGAGTTTTCAACTATCTCAAAAAATATCTCCATCTTATTTGTTTGGGGCCAACCGCTGAGGAATGTCCCCAGCACTGAAAGGAGTTTCTCAATATTTCTAAGTAGTGCTTCGTAATATTCAGAACTTGCATTTGACCCTGTTGCCGGAGGCATCTGGGGCAGCTCTGTATTATTCACACCAAAGGCTGTGCCGTATCCTGCAATTACATTCACTGTTGTCTGCCCTAAGCCCGTGACTGCTGCAGCCATCTTGGAATCATAGACAGTGTTTGGGATCTCCGTAGACTCATGTAAATCTAGGACTAGCATGTGTGAGGGAACCAACCTATGGCTACCCGTGATGGCAGGGTTGAGAGCCATCCTCCTCAGGGTAATAACCGCAGTTCAACAATTCATTATCAATTCAGCTTTAGAGCTATATCCCTAGGTTCATATCTTGCCTCCTTCCTTTAGGGGCTTAGAAGCATGGGCACATTCGTTAGCCCTTCGGTTTCTCCATTCAAGGAGTGTGTGGATAGTAAACAATCACTGTTTAGGCGAGGTCTGTAGTGAGGATTGAACGGGTGTATTAAAATAAACTGTGTACTGTAGATCTTCAGAATGGGAAATTAAAAAAGAACTGACTTGCTTGATATCTCAAAGCTTAACATGTTCCAGAGCTGCATGCAAACCCAAGAGATAAGCTCCCAAGTCAGGGGCGATGCCGTAATGCACAACTGCTCTGTCCAAAAATAGTCATTTCAACTTATCTCTATCCTTGGGACGAAAGAATGAGATACCGGTGTCAAAAATGCTTTTGGTGACATCCTGATTCCACACAATAGCTACTTCTGAAAAAAAGAAACAATTTAAGTGCATGTTATCTACAAAATGAGCCAGTGACCTGACGAAAGATCAACAATTACCTGGTCAAATGGAACAAACACCAGTTTACTTGGGGAGGAGAATTATCTACCATAATGGAAGGTTCTAAGCATGTGATATCATATCCTGTATGATTTCTTTCTCTTAAATGAAAAGTGGCTCCAACTGAGGCTGCTGCCAAGTTATGGAGATGACCATAGCTTAGCCTTGGAAAGTGTTCTGGATGGTGTCACGGGAGACCTGATTTGTGCATCCCTTCCTTCTAAGGAGGGTGATAGGTTAGGTGAAACCATATTATTCATATCTCTGTACATAGGGAATTTTGAATAATCCACAAAAGTATGTTTAAAACTATGTTTTGGTAAGTAACCTGGCCTAGACACAGATATTATCATTATGTATTTGGGAAAACTTCTGATACGAGTAGAAGGAACACGCTCTCAAATACTGTGAACTAAACATACATTCAGGCTGGTGTAAGGAGGGAAGCCATGGGAATAGCAACATTAGATCTCTTTCTTGTGCATTTTCCTTCACATTTCCACAATTCCAGATTCACCTCAGATTCTGAAGTCTAGAGTTTAAAACATAATTGATGGTGGAAAGACAGAAGCACAAGAGACGTTCCTATATTCTTCCAGTCAACGCGAAGAGGGAAGTTAGGTATGCAGAATCTAATCAGAAATGCTGCATTTTACTCTATGAAAAAATAATACATACAATAGCATGAACAAAGAATTAAAACTATACATTATGGCATAAGTAGGCAAAGTATTTCTTGAACAACCTTACTACACCAATTGGAAGGACACCATTCCGTAGGTGAATATGGACAGACCTTCACAGTAACAATATACTTGAGAAGAGAGGTATGAAGCTGAGAACTTCTTTAACATTCTGCATATGGAAAATCGGAGATAGTCTACAGGAATGCTATTCATGCTAACAAATTCATCAAAATTGCAGAGTACAAGGTTAACACTCAAACGGCAGTTGTGTTAATATGCACTCAATATAAACAATCCAATAGTAAGGTTACAAATGTAATTTCGTGGATAACCTCTGAAATCGTTAGATACTTAGAAATAAATCCAACCAGTCAGATGAAATACTCGTAAGCTGGTAAGAACAGAATGTGACTGAAAGGAAGTAGAGAGGGTACAAATAAATGAAAAGGCATCCCATATTCACAGACAGGAAGACAAAACCTGACTAATACACGATAGTACAAAATGGTCCAAAGACGCACAACAACTACTATCAAACTGGGAACAGCCATCTGTGCAGAAATGGAAAAGATAACCCAAAAGTTCTGATGAATTCTTAAATGTCTCAAATAATCATAATAATGTTGAAAAAGAACAGCGCTGGAAGATACACATTCATGAGCCTGAAATCTACGAGAGGAAAACATACAGAAATTCAGACAGCAGGGCCCTAGCATGGGGGCACCCGTAAAAATTGGAGATATGGAATAGAGAGCCCAAAATTCAATGCATGCATACACAGTCAACTGATCTTCAACAAAGGTGCCGAGAATACACAATGGGAAAAGGAAGGCCTCTTTAACAAATAATGCTAAAACTCCATATTCTCATTTGAATAAAGAAATTGAGCAGCGTGCTCAAGGTTGTGCTTCTTTCTCCATTTACAAGACACTGGAGCTCTGCATTGAGCCCAGAGCAAATCTTCACCCTGTCCCCCATGCCCAGAGAGAGCCCTTGATATCTGAAGTAAACAGTAAGAACAGACAAATGAATGTGCTGCCATGAAACCTAACAGTTCAGAAGGTGAGGATCAGTTTCTCCCAAGCATCTGGACACACTATGGAAGAACTGTTGTCTCCAGGATTAAGTAACTGCCATGACAGAACTGTGTCCCAAACCAAAGGCTTTAACATTTTGCAGTGGCAGAGGCAGAAAAGAGGTGTCCTCAGAAAGACCATCTTTAAATAATAAAGCAAGAAGAGGTGATCACAGCAGGGTGCTCACACCGCTCACCACTATGACATTAAACTGACAAGAACAAACCTCGTCCATGCTTTCTTTTTCTTCTCTTTCTACATGCTCCCTCAGCCTCCCAGGCAGAGGCAGAAGCTGAAGGATCCAGGGAACCTGCTTTATTAGCTTCCACCTGTAATCTTGTTGCCTACCTGGAAAGGCATCTTCTTCACTGTTGAGATTTTCCAGTGTCCATTCTTCAGAACCACCAACATCAGAGTAAGTCAGAGAGAGGCGCACTCACTTGTACCTCAGCTGAAGCCACATCGGCTCACACATCCCCTGGCTGGTCCTCTGGGTTCACATGCATTCATACAGCCCCTCTGATCAGAGTTACACACTTGCAAAATTATTTGCTCTCACTAGACCCCCAATATTCTTTAACCAGAACCCAGAATCAGGTTTCTATATATGAAAACCAGCAAGTCTGTTCCTCAGCAGGTGAGCTACTTCAGGGTACATACCATAACCAGGGAGCGATGAACTCTGCAATTAGACAAAAGAAGACGCTATGAGGATCAGACTAATTCCTCGGCACCCTTTAGCCCCCCCCCAACCCCAGATCTGTTAGTCTCTTGATGACTTCAGAAAACTAGTTGTAAGACAATGGTTGAGTCAAAGGCCAAGAATCAAACATGCTAGTATAGAGGACACCTGTGGAAAAGATAAGACCTTTTCCCACAGAATTTATCTATGCAGTTGGTTAACATTGGCAAATACACAGTGCCTAAACCAAAGAGGAAAACTGGTGTTGAGGAAAATTCCTCTGCCTTACAGTTGATAATGGATGTTGTCATTTAAAAACATTCTAATATATCACGTATCCAATGGGAAGACACTCCCACTGAATTCCACCCCCACAAAGAGCATTGGACATGTTGTACATAATGTGCCTTCTCAGATTATCACAATTAACAGAAGGAACGGAATCAGAAAACAAACAATTCTTTCTTAATTTTGTTTTC